GCAAACAATAATACAAGGGTGGTCTTTTTTACAAAGACAAGTGTAAATATCAAAATGAATTTATCACCAAAATTTAGGTACAAACATGCTTACTTTCAACATAATTACCGTGAAGATTGAGGCATTTGTTATATCTGGACGAGTTTTTCCATCCCCTTTTCATAGAATGCTGCTGCCAGTGAATTGAGATGGCCTTAACAACATTGTTTTGAAGATCATCATTTGTCTCAAACGTCTGCCATGCTAGCCACATTTTCAGTTCAGGAAAGAAGTGCAAGTCTTCACATATTAAAAAGTTCCAAGCTGGGTGGAAGTCTTCACCACCTGTAAACACCCAGCATATAGCCCCGGTTTAGTGCCAAGTGATTTCCACCTCTTTCCTGAACAGGAAAAGTGGCTAACGACAATCTTCAAAAGTTATTTACACTTGTCTTTTTTTTTATGGATTATAAATATGTCTTTTAACATGATATTCTCAAGCTTTTATCTGTGCTAAAAGTTATTTACACATTGACTACAATAGCCATCTGATTAATATTTTCTTTTTCATCTTTCATCTCTCTTGCTTTAATGTTCTGTATCCATCTTTATCTAAGTCTCTCTCTCTCTCTTTCTCTCCCTTTATTTTATTTTTTTAGTCTTAGCATTTAGAATTTGAATGAAAAATAATGAAACATACATGACAAAATCATTTTAGTCTTATTAATACTTGTCAGTAATGCTCAGTATTCTTCTAGCAATATTATTAATTATTATTAAAAGATTTTTGCATTTCAAACTTCTAGTCTTATCTGATGTGCTTTGCTTCTTAATCTATATTGCTAGTTTTATCTCAATAAATAATAATATATTTTTTAACTAAATATTTAAATAAAATTATTTAAGAGTGATTTCATTATTTGATATTTCTTATTGTTGACTTTTAGTAATTCTTTTACATATCATATGCTCTAAATATTTCTTTATTAGCACATTAATTGCTGATTTGAAATTTCATCTTTTCCCTAATACTTCATAACTACTTCAGTTTTTTATGACCAAATATCTACTTAAGAAAGATAATGAAAACTTTATTTTATAAAATAAACAAATAATTCAAGATAAAATTACTAATCCAGCAGTAATTATTTATGACAGCCATTTGAGATTCTAATACCTGATTTGTTTATCAGGTATTAGAATCTGCTTTTATATATTCTCTAAAGATACCATTTTTATCTTTAGAAAATATATAAACTTCTCTATTTCAAAAAAAATTCTCATTATAAATTAGAACCTTCATAGAACTGTATGAGAGATGTTTTCCATCATTACTTTTTAAAGTATATATCAATTGAATTTAACATATTGGTATTTACTAGTTGATTTAAAATTAATTGTATAAAAATCAATTTAGAAATGGGTTTTATAGTAAATGAGAGTTATCTAAATCTAGATTTTCAGCAAAAAATGAAGAAAATTCCTTCAAGCACTGCACTGACAAAATAGTTCTAAAAAGCAACAAATCCAGAATTTTTACTTTTTTACTCTTAATATGATATACATCTTTACTAACTGAAACAGATATTAAATCAGTTGATATATACTTGAAAAAGTTTTAAAGACATCTTTATTTTTTGGCAGAAAAGTTTGTTTAGTTGACATGAAATAAATCCAATAACATTTTTGGCCTGAATGAAAAATTCCCTTATAATATTTAGTATTAATATAAAAAAATTAATTTTTAATTTCTTAATCAAATTTTTTTGTAGAAAATTGATGACTGTTAAGTCTAACAATTTTTCCTTTACATAGAATTGAACATTTCAAATGTTGTTTAAGTGTTCTTTTTCCATCTTAACAAAATCTGAGAATATTTGTGCTTCAAATAAGCTACACTTCTTAATTATCTGTTATTTAAAACTGTTTCAGTATTAAATATTTTGATCATTTATTTGCCAATTAAAAAAATTTGTTTATTGTTAGAGGTCTGCTTCAGTTTGTATTTTGCTATATAATTCTTACTTCATACTAACATTATAAGAAAAATAGTTCTGTTTTTCTTCCTCATATGATTTGATGTGTAGATCACATCAAATCACAACAAAACACATCATCATTGTAAAGTTAAAATTCTTTCCTATTTTATTTTTTCAATGTTTACTCTCATATTGTTTGAGTGATTATCATATTTGAATTATTGTTCAAAATACACCATAATTATTTATGCTTAGCTAAAGTAAAATAGAAAAGTTCTGAATTTAATATGAAATATTATGCATAAATTCTTAATTATATTATTATTTTATCATAGACTGATTATTTTTTCACTCATATTTTTTATATATATATATATATATATTTTTTTAATAGATGTTTCAAGTTTGGTTGAAAATTGCCCTGATATTATAGATTTGGATTTGAGTGATGCAACACTATTAACGGGTTTAACTATCGATTTCATTATTAATGGTCTTCCAAAACTGCAACATCTACATTTGAGTAGATGCTATAATATTCCTTCAATTAGTTATTTGTAAGTAATATCTACTGTATTATTAAATTTTAAAATATTAAGTTTAAATCATACATTTATTTATTTGTATTAGATCACTAAGCAATATTTCATCTCTTCAACAATTTGTTTGTTTTGGAATTTTGACTGAAACAGCACTTCAAACTCTGAGGGGTAATCTTCCAAACATAGAAATTAATAGACATTTATTTTCTTTTATTGCCAGGCCAACTACTGGTATAAGAAGAACTAGTATTTGGCATTTAAGAGTAAGAGACTAAAAACTAATTGGAAATTTCATTATCATTCCAAACAGATATAAGTTTACATTCTAAAATTTTGTAATTTATCATGTTTAATGTTTCAAACCATTATCATTATTTTAATTCTTTTTCCAAGTAAACATTTATATTGATGCAAGTATGTTTTGTGATTACAAAAATTTCTAATTGTTTGTTAATCCATAATGTGTTCTAGCATTATAGGGAAAAAAGTAATTTACATTCAGATACTATGAATTTTTTTCTTTTTTTTTTAAATATTGCATTCTTATAAAACTGTTTATGTAGCAATTTTAATTGAATATTGTTAATAATTTTTGAATATTTATTAAATTAAAAATTACTATATATTATTTTGTATATATTGTGATTACTTATTTGATTTTCGATGTTTGTAATTTGATATAAGTTTGAAATAAATAAATATTTTTAAAAAATTGAAAATTGTTGTTATGAAATTAATTTTTTATTCGTGCTGATAAGATATTTCTGTTCTCTGCCACTGTGTTATATGCAACATACAATAATGGCAGATAACTAATTTATCTGAAAATGACAGCATTTTTTAAAAATGTTGTTACAAGATCTGGTTTTATCAAAGAGATCAAGATTTCAGAGAATAAAATCTTATTAAATTTATTAATTTTAATGATGGCCAGGTGGCTGAGTGGTTAAGGCATTGACCTACCATTCCTAAAGGGAGCCATAGGAATTTTTATGGACTGTCTGGCTTTATTCCTTGTCTCCATAATGGGCACGGAAAAATGCCTTCTGTATTCACAGGGCAGAAAGTGTAAAAAAAAAATTAATGATATAACAATGTCGTAAATTGTTTAAATAATATAAAAGAATGCTTAACAGTAGAATGACAAAGAATTTGACAAATGATAAGTTCACTGAGGAATTCTGGATAGTGCTAAATTTTGAACAAGCATTGATTATTTCCTCATGTCAGGTTAATTAATTATATCATATAATTTTATTGAAAACCAGTAAAAAGAAAAAATATACAGTAAATAAATTTTAACAATGTTGTATAGGATATACTTGTCCCATAATAAATGAAACATCTCTGCTTTCAGCAGTTAAATTACAATTAATATGAAAAGTAGCACACAGGATAGTATAAAAATAAAGACATTAGCGGTAAATTTCTACAAAAATATAATTCTGGGATACATGATAAAGACTTCATCTTGGAAAGATGAAAATTTTTCTCATATTATGCCAAATTACATCAATTCTAGTGGAGAATATGGAACAAATAGTCATATGAAAGACCTGCACTGAATTCCCATCAAAAATAGTAATTTTCAAGAAAATTAGCAATTATACAATGAGTTTGAGGTAAACTGCATTTCATCTAGCCATAAATGTGTCAAAATCAGCAGTATACAGAGTTATAAAATTATCTAACATCTACAAAATAAGAAAACAAAACAAATTCTGCCTCTAAATAATTGCCAGAGAGACAAGCCTTTGACTAAGGATAAATATCACATGACGTGGACTCAAATGGCAACAAGTTATAAGAAGTGATGAGAGCAGGGCTGTGGAGTCGGAGTCGTGGAGTTTTGGTGTTTTAGCCGGAGTCGGATGGTAAGGAAAAGTCGGAGTTGGAGTCGGTAGATTTTTACGCGACTCNCATTCAAAACTTGTGAATTTTGAAAAAAACAAATTTGCTGATTAAATACGGACAACCGTTTAACTGAAGTAAAACGGGTTTTCCCCTTGCTATGGATGTCTGCCTAGTTCAGTTCAGCCACATTCCGCTACAGTTCGCCTTTATTATCAGTTCGAAATGTGGTGGTTCCATAATACCCGCAGTGTTCCATAATACCACCTTCTCCTCTACTCATTATATAAAATTAAATTAATGTAAAGACATAAGAAGTAAAACCAATAATAATAATAAATTCTTATCCTTACTTATTTCCATAAAAATGTCATTTAAATTAGTGTTAAACATATGAGTGACAATGAATGATTAAGAACAAATTTAATAAAAAAAAATTTCGGAAGTTGCGAAGGCATTAAGGCGCTCGGACATTTTCAAATGTGATCTGATTCTTCTCCAAATTAGTTGATGACAGAGAAGTGTTAAACGTTAATCAAGTTTGTTTTTCTAGTGACGAGTAAATTATCATATAGGGATACTTATTGTAAAAATTCAGAATTTTTACAATGCGCACACGGCAGAAATATTCACATGCTTCTATGACAATAAATTACCATCCACGAAGTTGTGTTCCCAAAGTAATATTAAAAATGTCTTTTTTATTAACAAAATTGGTCTTGAATAACGATAATTTTGTTTATATCTTATCCTCTTCCCAAGTAAATTATAAATACAGTAAATATTACGTATGAATCTCATATGTACAGTACATGAATATTCGAAAATTTTTTAAATAAATATAATAAATTTAAAAATACCAGAAATAAAGTGAAAATTACAGTTTATAAAAAATTATATTGATACCGAGTCAATATGCTTGGTCCCTATGCAAATAACAGAAATTCTAAATGTTTTTAAGTAACATCAATTTTCTTATAATTTTGAATGTTGCACCTTATTGCTTAGCACATGTCAGTCAAGTTTGACCAAAATCGGTGACACCAACGTCATTCCGATCCCTCGTTAGTAACCGGCATGACTCCATTGCCAAAGGAAAAGTATGATGTACAGGGGCAAGCTGCTACTAATTTGAGGTGGAGAGCGTATATTTTAAATAAATAAATAAAATTCCAACTCCGCATTGTGACGATGTCACAATAAATAATTGCTCGTTTTTGTTTCTTTGTCTTTCAGGAAACGTTGGTTCGACACCGTTGTCTTCTGCGATTTGAATCACACTACTTATTGCGGATTCAAATGGTTCTTTAAGTTCTAAATTTATTTAAATCGTCTATTAGTTTTTAACCCGATTATTGTCGTTTCAAGAAAGCGTGTAAACGATGGATTATAGTCAAGATGGACTGATGATAATGAACGCAGAGCCCAAGCGGTTAGGAGTTGAAATTTGGTACACCGGATACGCCATGAGAATGCACACTAAGAAGGGATTTTTGGAAAGGGGGTTAAAGATTACCCTGAAGAACTACTACTACTGTACTATTTTAGATGCATTTTTGCGGAGAAACAAACATATTTTTGACCCATTTGAAACTTCTCTAATTAGTCTCGGAAGAGGGGAAACAATTCTTGCACACGGTGAAAACGGGTAAGATCGTTTATATAACTATAAAGGTTATCTTGCGTAAGTGTTTATCACACCGAATGACCAATCTAACAGAATTTAAAAATTCTTTACTCCTCTACTGTATACAATTTAGAGAATTTTTAAAATGTGTTAGATTGGACATTCGGTGTGATAAACTCTTAGGCAAGATAATCTTTATAAATAAAAATCAAATACTATAATAGAGAGGTTGAGGCGCACGTTTTAAACGTGTAAACGTGTACGTGTGACGTTCGGCGCCGCTTTCCCGTAAGCCTAAAAGTTTGACGATGGTGTTTGAAATGTCGAGCGTGATTCCACCGACTATCCAAACACCATTGTCAAACTTTTAGGCTTACGGGAAAGCGG